GCATTGGGGCGTGAGACGTTTATTTTAATTGGGAGCATTCGGCATATTGGATGAATTCCATTTTCTCGCGATGAGTTCACTACCGCACAGAAACGAACAACGAAGCACAACACTGCCGCCGATTTCCACTCGGCATCTGCAGATCTCGGGCAACGTTACCCGTTGCAACGATACCCGCGCAAGAGCGATGCTTCATTGCGTGTGTGGATTGGTGCTCGCTAACAGCACTTGCCCACAACACTCGCTGTATGGGGAGGGGTGGAAATTGTCTTTTGATAGCACCGTGCTACTTGGTTGGCGACCCGAGTTCGATTACCGCTCACGGCCAACATCAGCGATGATCATCCCTACTGGTTCTGGACCTGCCCTCGGGTCGACTCAAATGAGTACCTGGTGCGGTGTGAAAACATCTCCACTCGGGAGACAAAGGCGGCCGGGCGTGGGGCTGATCACACACCCGCTCGTGCAGTGTCAGCCTTCATGAGATGGTCGCTAGCAGCACTTGCCTCAGTCTGTTAAGGCTGCACGGGGGATCTTTGTCTTTGTCTTGCGCTGCGCTGCGTGTACAGATATCCGTGCCGCCCGCTCAGCACTTTGCCCCAACAGTCTGTTAAGGCTACACGGGGGATCTTTGTCTTTGTCTTGCGCTGCGTGTACGGATATCCGTGCAGACCGCTCTCAGAGGGAAATTAAAATCAGCCACCCTCATCAGCTACCCACGCTGCAGTGAAATTCATAACGCAAGGGCCTTTCGAATTACAGCTTACAGCCGCAATCTAAACAAGGCGGGGGGGGGGGGGGGTTGAAATAAAAAAACCGAAAGTATAAAATGCCCATCAATGTTTATTTAAGCGCTTCTCGTTGCAAGTGACGAAACTGTGAAACAACGTTTGGTGCCTTAGTGTGTTTCTTGTTATTTGTGAAAAGGAACGTTCGTTCACGTATACGAATTTAAATCTATTTTTGTAATAAATGCTACATGAGAATCGCCTATTCCAGATGCAAATGCGTTTAATTACACGAGTGAGCGGACATGCATCTCCCAATAAATTATGGAACAAATGCAGCTACAACCAAGCGCGAGAAAACATTGGGATGCCGGAGCGAAACGGCGCATTTGCAAGGTAACGTCTCTAAATCTTCCATTTTCCGTGAGCGATGTGCATTGAGTAGACATATTTCGCACCGTACAATAGAAGTTCACGCGCACATATTGGTTCGGCATCAGAATGAGAGCGCCTTGCCTCCCTTCCAGTCCAGCCAAGCTTTATCCAATCCACAGCTAAATGCCCCAAACCAAAGTTATCTTCATTTCTCGAGGAGAGTTCAGATAACAAGTCGAGGCATTTCCGTTCGCATCTGCATTGGCAACCCCGAGCCCATTAGCTCGGGAATGGGCAGCACATCCACACTGCAAACACTGTCAACAAATTGCTACTCAATGTATTAGCTCCTGGCAGTCACTTGTTGTAACCATAGCACCGACGGACGGGTCGGGTAACTTGCTCACAACTGGCAAAACATCGACATCTTTTTGGAGCATGCAGGCGATTCGTTCCATCCAGGCGCTTAATGTCCGAGGTTGAAAGTAAACATTTCCCCCACAGTGGCACGTTAAAACACGCATTAAAAAGAGCCTTCCATTTTTCTCGATGCAGTATTTATCAGCCGGATGCTGTTCGGCACAACGCCCGACGTTTCGATCCGCGCGCCATGAGCAAAACATCGGAGGACAACGTGCCGTGCAACACCCTCCCCCACCCCTAAAAAAAAAAAATCCCCCCACACACGGGAGAGCGCTGCACAGCACAACCACGAAAAAAACGCACGTGCCAGTACAATGTCAGACAGATTGACGACCGTGTCTCCTGCTCAGCTGCAGGTGAAGCCACTGCATGGAACCGGAAACACAGCCCGCACTGGCTCGTATCGGCATGTGCGTTTAAATAACCTGCAGCAGCTGGGGTGGTATTCATGGCAACGCTCCAGAACATGGACACGTGGTTTAGTTTGGGTTGCGGTGACGTTCCCAACAAAACCACGGAGCCTCACCACAGCTGCATTGCTTTGAACCGCACCGTTTGCAAAGCCGGCATTCGACGGTATTTTCTATTTAAATTGTATTTCTCATTCATTAACATCATTTCAGTTGACCTTTTCCTAACTAGCAAATGGAAAAAGGGGAATATTAAACATTTGTACAAGTGGAAAATGGAAGGGCAAAACAAACTTTACATGCATGCATTCCAAAATGTCCATTAATTTAAATCTCGCAGAGTTGTTATTATTCCATACACGGTTAATAATCACGTGCATCGGGAATCGTTACCAATCAGTGGCAGGATTTGGCAGGAAGCAGGTCTGGAACTTTCAAAAATAGCTCCACCGGCAACCGCACCGTTACAGAAAGCAGTAAGCGTGGTTTTTTTTAAAATATAATAATAATAAAAAGTGCCACCGCGCGTGCAACATTTCTGTTTTGGTGAAAATGCTTCTGCAAAAAAACAATTAAGTTCAATGCAAAAAAAGCAAGACAGTGTGTGGGGGTGACCAGTGGACAGCGAGACCGATCCCGGCTCGGTTGCTCTGGGTAACGACGTGACGTTAACTGCCACCCTCCCTTGCCTTACTACCCGAGACCGGCAGGAAGGAAAAAATATAAAACGGAGGAGGGTTCTCAGCGGCTGTTAAACGACAATTCGTATGGAGAAGACATTTGTTTGAGTTGCTGTTGTTGTTGTTGGCTTGCAGAGCTGCGAGGAGGAGGAATGAGTCCACGCAGGCACAGACAGACATACGAGCGTTACATAAAATATAGAAACGTGGAAATATTTGGTGATGATCGTACACGTAAGAACATCGGTTCTTGGCCATTAAACGAAAAAGGCTTAGAAAACACATCGTCACGAATATGATAACACGAAAAGTCAAAGCAAATACCTAACGCGACAGATAATATTTTTTTGGGTATAGATCATAAATAGGGGAAACCATGTTAACGGAAGTTATGGATGCAAATTAAAATATGGTTTAACAATTTGTTTTTTAGGTAGATGTCACAGGGGAACAGCCGAACGTCTCGTAAAATCTGGGAGCTCTGGTGGCCTGGGAATGCCGCTCACTAACAGCAGATGACACCAGCAGACACGGCAGACACATGGCCACGTAAACCTTGATCTTTGGGATTAAAGACTTGTTTGTGTGATACTGCATTGGCAGTGGTGGACAAAGCCACGGCCCCTTCATCATAGCAGAGGGCTTCCTCACGGCCAGGAACATGGCCTCTTCATATATTTTTAGGGCAGTGTTATTGACAAAAACGTGTTGAGGTTTAGTTATGTGGGCTTAATCTTTGATAGGTCAACTTAGACTGTCACGACTCTGCGACAGAGTATTCCTCTCTTGAGCTTGGCAAGCGAGAGCCATTCTCATTCAGTAAAATGCATTTTCAGGCAGTGCCATTTAGCCAGTCCAGCATTGTGGGTCCATTTTTGCAAATTTCATTTAGCAAAAAATATTCCATAGAAATGGAAAACCAATGGTTAATAAAGCGTTTCACGAAACGTTTCGGAACACTTTTTTTACGGAAGCTAAACATTCATCTTGAAAATGTGCTATGTATGAACAGTGCACGTACATGTAAAAAAAGACATAACATGGAATCATTACAATTGGCTGCAAATACTAGCGTTTCAACAGAATATGGCATTCAGAAATCATATTAACGAAAGATAATGAACGGCATGCAGAATGGTGGCATCTAAAATGGAATGATTTATATACTTTTTTACGTCAGGTCTTCGTGAGCCCGAGTCACGTGACAAAGCGAAATGAATTAAAAACCCGCGGTGGGTCGCCAGGTCAAAGGTCACCGTGTTAGAGCGTGCGCAGGTGTCAACGAGCGTGAGATGCCGACAACAATGGCCAAAGCACAAACGGAATAAATTATTACCACGTTATAATTTCATCATTTACAGCCTCTTTATCAATCCACCGTTGGTTGAGAGGTTTTTTTTTTCCCCCCACACTGTGTCTATCATGGAGCGGGGTAGCGGATCGACAATACTTCACGATGCTTGCCAGTGCCGGTTGGTAAAGAGCTTTGGTACGGAGGGGGCCGTGTCCAGCACGAGTTCAGGGACATCGCTCACGGCTGACGTTTTATCCTGTGGCTGGGAATCAAACCGAGGTGGGGCCGGGTTGATCGTGGTGCGCTCAACACTGTGCACCACCAATCCATATTGAATTGACAAAAACAAAAAAAATGGCTTCACCCCGACGTGGGTCACGAGGCGCAGACCTCTGGCCGATCGGCACATTTTCCAGAGTAAAGGTTGACCGGGAACTGCAAGGCGTACATTTCGAATGCCATTGGGCCACTCGCAGCTGGCACGATCTCTCTGTGGGGGTGTGGGCGGGGGGTGGTGGAGATGCCCCCCCCCCCCCGTCTCCAAACCTCCCCCGATCCCCCCTCCCCCTGTGTCCAGCCGTCGCTAAGGCAACGAAACATTCTGAAAAAAGAGGAAAAAAAAACACATCGACGGAGAATGCCAAAGCATAACCAATTTGACGTCCCTTTAAATAAACTAGCACGAGAAAGGTGGAATGAATTTCCACGCGACACAAATCGCACGAAGCCGAGGGCACGGAAACGGGCAGTGGCGACGGGGCCCCTGGGGCAAAGGGCGCTCGCCGCTTACTGCCGAGGTTCGCGGTTCGAATCAGGCAGCAGCCCCCCACCCCTGGGTTACGACTGCGGTTTCAACCGTGCAAATATGCGCCGTCTGCATGGCGGTGGACGCGTGCGTGCACGTGTGTAGACATTCTGTCGCGCCGTGTGTAGCCAACCGCGCTAAATCGGAGGTGCGGGGAGGTGGTGGTGGTGGTGGTGGTGACAAACTAAAACACAAAAAGCAGTTTTTGAAAGAAATTAGTTTTCAATCTGGATTTCAAAAGTGCGTAGCTCCAGTGGCGTCCTGATATTGGAAGGAAAGAGCGTTCCAGGGGGCCGCAGAAGCGCATCTGAAAGCGCCGCGCGACGCGGTGACTACCACCGTCTTTGTTCGATGGCAGCAGCCAAAAGCCGCTGTTGCGAGGATGGTGGTTTAAGCTCATTGACGTGAAAGATCCCCCCCCCCCACCCTCCTTGGTTGTCATTCGAAAGGAGTTCTACCATTGTTGCGTTGGCGTCATGATCCACATTTGAAACATGGCCCGGGATTGCACGCGAGTGATTTTGCGCCCAACTGCCTTTGTGGTACAGCCCTGTGCCATGGAACAAATACCAAAATGTAAAAAAGTGTCGTTTACAATTTTTTTTATAAAGAAAGCAGCAATTACGAGGTCAAAGCAGCCACACAGCTTCACCATGGGAAATGCATAACAATTGTCTCACATTACAGGTGGCGAACGAACTTACGGAGGTCCAATTGTTAACAATTCATGCCAGGCATTGACGATGTAAGAGATGGCAACATCATGAAATCAAACAGCTCTCCATGTGGTGCACACTTGCTGTGAACACCAAGTTAAGAAAACAACCAACTATATACGTTTTAAAATTAAAATCTAACGACACAGTTGCGAAGAACAGCACGCGTTTGCATGGTTCTTGTTTAACACGGTGTTATTTCACACATCCGATCTAACCATTAAAACGTGTCGCACGCCAAAACACATCAACTACACAGGCTGCTAAAATTGTACCATCAGAACTCCCTGTAACTGGTTCATGAAACCCTTTGGTCGTCAACCCAGCGTCCGTCGGTACCAAGGGACACATTCCAAATCACGACAGGGCGAGCACGAAGCAGCAACAGCAAACAGCTCTCACACGAATGGGCAATGCAAATCAATTATCTCTCGTTACAGATGGCAAACGGATGTCCCCAGTTGGTCGTGGGAGAATAAAGGCACGAGGAGGCTGCCGTTCCGCCTGCGAGGTTGACGCCGGCAAAACACGGATGGTTCTTAACTAAAACGTGGTTTAAAAAGGTACCTTCATCAGTGTCGGTTGCCGTAAAATAATTAAGAGGCCTGATCGAGGGCAAAAGCTAAATCCGCCTCCTTCTATGTTCCAATCAAGTGTGAGGCGGCGTTTATTACGTCTCCGACGGTGGCTCAGAGCTAAAATTGTGGAAATTCCACATTCCTACCTAACTGGTGCGAGCGATTTTGTCAATGACAACATGTAGGATGGTTCATGTAAGTGCGAGGACTCCCACTCCTTCCAAGACGTCTGGCGAGCGTGGAAGAGTAGGCCAAATACATCCTTTTAAAAAGGGGCTCTCTAGAGCTACCTCTATTGGAGGGGCATTTCACTAGCAGTGGCGTGAGCAAGAGATTTCAGGGCTGCACCTTAACCCTTGATATATAAACGCATGCAGCCAGAGGCAGCTAATTAGAAGCAGACTATGTATTTATAATGCAGAAATCCGACGAGCTTATGAAGCTCGTTTTAATCAGATGTCCTGCACAACTCACAGCTCATGGCATGAACAGCATTGTTACTCTGAATGTAGACTAAACGTTAATGCGTGCGTTAGTGCAGGAAAGCATCGCTAGGTCTCTTTTTCAGCAATTTAGTAACGTTTAAGGCATCTTTTTTAGCCAATTCCCTGCAGCCAAACCCCCCCCCCCCTCTCCTCCACAACCCGGCACGACTACATCCCTTCCCACCACGATTTCCACGGTTCCCAGCAGGGCGTGCAGCTGGAGGGCACTGGGAGTCGTGGGTGGGGGAGCGGCTACAGGTAGCTGTGGTGCCTGCGGGGTCGCGGCAGGGTTTCTTGCTCGCGCCTTTGCTGCACGGACGCCACCAGCTTGGCCAGGTCCTCCGAGAGGTCGCGGTACGGGTCTTCGCCCTTTTGTGGCACGTAGACGATCGGCACCGGGTGCTCGTTGCTCTTGCTCCGCCTCCTCTTGGACTTGGCCTTCTGCTCCTTGTCCTGCTGCTTCTGGGTCAGGGCCTTTTTCAAGTCCGTCTTCAGCCTTTGCAGCTGCTCCTTGAGGAGTTCGTTGGACACGGCGCGGTCCTTGGAGCCCTGGGCCTGAGCGGGGATCGCTTCGCCTCGTCCGTCGGCCTTCTGCGCGGGGTTCGCTTTTCGCGCATCCGTTCCATGGTCGGTGTTCACGGCGTATTCCTTCACCTCTTTCCGTTTTCCTCCCGGAACTTTGAAGCGGACGCCAATCTTTTCGCCTCCGTATTCGAATGGCTTCGCGGAAGATTCTTTGACGGGCGTCGATTTTCCGTGGTCGACGTTTTTGTTCGCATCAATTAGCTCTCCACCGCCAAGCAGGTGCGCGTTGATCCTCTTCCTGCCACCATCTCTGGCCGCACGATCCGCTTTCGCCGACGAATCTTTGCTCTGCACCTGTGCCGAAGCGTGCTTGGCCAGCCGAGCAGCTTGATTGGATTTTTTCAGAACGTCTCGGTGACCAATTTGCGGGCTTCTCGACACGTCGCTGCTTTTGACCACGCCGCGCTTTTCTCGTCCATCGCCGCGTTTACTCGGCTCCCGCTGGTCCTCCGCGTCATCCTTCCCTAGACTTCCAATGCCATCATCCTCATCAGAGACTTGCTCGAGTCCGCCGCCGCCTCTGATCTCCTTCCATCCATTCCCGGCATCCGCGACATCGGAGCCGTCGTCTGCTTGGGCAGAGCCTCCCTCGACGGTTTTGCCGAATCTCCACGCAGTGCCGAGGCGGTCGTACAGCCCCGACGGCGAGCCGAGACCGCACACGAGCCAGACCACCATCCCCGTACCCAGCAGGGCCAGCAGGTAGAAGGTGCGCCGCGTGTTCCGGCGGCTCATCAGCTTTCTCCTGCTCCTCGGCTCGTATGAGTCCGTCATGCCCAGCGACACGTACACGCGCGTGGAATCCATCCTCGTACGATCCAACCTCACGGCGCGTCGCTCTCTCGAGCTCGGGGTTGGTGGCGTACAACAACAACAACAACCACGAGAGAGAAAAAAAAGAGGCCGGGACCCGAGGTCCTTCTACGGCACAACACCACGACCCCTCGGGCGGAGTCGGCAGACTCTCGACAACAAACGAACAAAATCGATGGTTGTCACTCAAAAGTGCTGCGGCGTATTTTGACTCCCGTTAAGTTAACAAAAAAGAAAAAGCGCGGTTCTCCACGGTTGCCTTTTGTTTTGGCGTGTCCATCGGTGCCGGGCCCCTCTCTGTGTCCGTGAGCGAGTGTGCACGCTAGGCACCGACGCTCCGTTGGTCTCGAGCTCGGGGTGGCTTGGCGGCCCGCCAGGAGGCACTCGATGGAGGGGGCCACCATGGCAGCGGACGTGGCTAACCAATGCTCGCATCACACGCCAGCTGACCTCCCCGCATCGATCAGGATTCGACGCCCTCGCATCGATCAAGGAACCAGCGCCAAAAATAGAGGCGACGACGCAAACTTCTGGAAGAAATGAAATAAATTAAAGGGTTACAGGTGAGGGTGTTGTTTAATCACCGGAAAACAATTGGATTTAATCCACCGACCAATTGACTAACTCGGTCGAGGCATCCCAGTAACATTCGTTTCAGACAGATCATCCCCGGGGGGCCTAGGTTTATTTACTTGATCGCCGAATTTAATAAAATGTCTATATTTATCCCCCTTAGCTGTTTTTTTTCCTTTGCAGAGGTCATTATATTCAGCTTGTGTATAAATGAACCAACACATTGCTACCTTTACTTGGTGAATCCGAGGACCGAGTGATCGGCTCACGATGAGAAGGCAGAATCGAAATTCAGGTTTTGTGGTGCGCCTCCTTCGAGGTCGATGACAAAACGAAACTCATCAATTTAGGAGTAAGCCAAGCTCGATCATCCTTTGGATTGACTGCAGCTTACCATGGCAACGTGACATGTTCACGGCTAGCTTAGGGCTGCCAACACATATGAGCGCTCTATTTATGTACGATGTATGTACGTAGCATGTTGTATGAACTTCTTTCGCAGCGTACATAGCCAAAAGGAAGTGTGGGAAGTTCATTGTGTTTATTTTTTATTTTTTTAACAACCGCGTGATGGTGAATAACTGATCGTGCATCGATTGTACATTGGTGTAGTGGTAGCCCAGTGTTTCACACACCGGGGCCACGAGCCATTTGATCTCATTTCTAAATGTCTGGCCACGCGCGTTGACCAGCGTGGCGAAGTATGGAAAAACAACTGCCATGACTGGCACGGAAATGGGAGGGCTTTTACCCAGCGGTGGGTTCTGTAACATCATAACAATAATGCTAGAATAAAAAAAAGAGACACGCCTGTCACCGTGATTTGTTTTTATTTGATTTCATAGCAGTAACCCCTTCAATAACAAACCGTGCAATCTACCGCGCGATTGGCGAATTGGGATGGGAATTTCACAAACTACCCGTTGCCTTGGCACGAATGCTTTTCTTGTTGCATCATTCATCCTCATCATTTCATAATTTTGCTGCTCCCCGTCTCTTTCATGTCTGTTCTGTTCGTGTGTTACAGCTGTTGCTCCCCCACTTCGTCTGACAGCCAATCAGCCAATAGCACATTGCGCCAGTTTCACTTTACTTGACACGTGTCCGCATTCTATCGATCGCTTGAAAAGGACACTTAATAAGGAGAGTCTTCACTTTGTAAAACGGGGGGAAAAATATCCACACGTCAGTTTTTTTATTTATTATTCAAGCCATTCATTGGGCTCATTCCAATACTGAAGACTTGGGAAGTGGATTCTAAATGTATATCAGCTGCCCCCCCCCCCCCTCACTCCATCCCCTGCCATACGATTGTACATATAATCTTCACAGCAATGTACCATAACCGGCATGGAGACATTCTATGTCCTCACCGTGCGGTGCGAGTCTGGAGTGCGTCAGTGGCAGGACAGCGCAAACAAGGAACAGCTGTGACCATAAAAGACGACTGACGCATCAAATTGAAGAGAGACCCGACCGGATCGATGCATCCCGGGTTGCGTTTGTTGAAACCAAGGCAACAAACCTGGACCCCCGGTTTTTCCACTTCACTCTGCGACGAAAGGAGCCGCCCTGGCAAAGTCGCAGCCCTGCAATCGCTGTGCTCAGGCCCCTGGTAACGGAAGTGCTCTCGCTCGAAGAGGAGTTCCAGAAAGCTCACCGCTTGAGAGCTGTCGATGAACAGAGGTGGAGCAGTCCAGCGCGCCGACCGATACCGCCAACGGCAGCTGCCCTGATGAATTTCGAATTACCCACAATTCATCGGGGCGCTACAAACTGGGTATCGCAATTATTTTGAGAGAGACGCGCACATCGGTAGTCACAACCGGGCCTAGGAATTGGCCGCATCCACACGGAACTTTGCGCACTCTGCATGGGCATTTGCCCGCGTTGCAAAAAAACAAAAACAGCGGGCGAGTTCATTAATCACAAAAGAAAATAACCGTTCCAAGGATTACTCAGAAATCCCCCCACCGGGCAAAGCATATTACTCGGATAAACATAACCAAACAACCCACAGGGAGGTCCCATGCCAACTTCAGATGAGTCCGAGTTACGCAGAGTCGTTGGGGGGGGGGGGGGGGGGGGGGGGCAGCTACCGTCCCGTGGAGCTCTCAGCTCGCGAGGTGCCTCGGGGAGGAGGCCCGCGGGGGCATACGCGGGATTAAACACAGAGCCTCGCGTCCCCTCTGATTGGATTACCCCCCCTCCCCCCCCCCCCCCGTCGTAATGAAGGGCAGGCGAGCATTTGTACCCACGGTGTTTTGTTTGTCCGTGCGGAAAGGCGTCTCTCGCTCACGGTGGAATGGCTTCGGGTTCCTCTGCTCTGTTGTCCCAGATTTTTGTTGTTGTTGTTGTGATTATTTAGACGCCAGACGCAACCCGCCATTAGGAGTGTGGAATCGTCACGCCGCTGGGGACAAGAGCCGCCAAAGTGAGACGAGCATTTTTACGCCGTCAATTTCCACCGTCAATTTCCACCGTCAAGTTGCATGGACGGCACTCTGCCTTGAATTTCGTTACACGTCGCACTGCGGGTCCACGCGTCCGTGGGTGTTCTGCATCACAACCCGGCTATATTCGAGCTCACGCGTCTTCTTGCCAACATCAACCAAGACCTCAACAATGTACCCTCTCGCCGCAAACTCTCGTCCCGATCCCCTTTCTGGGTATCGCGCCGTCGTCATTCGACACAATCCCACCCAGAACCCGAAAGAAAGCTGGCACACCACGCTAACGCGTCCATAACAAAAAAAACACATCATGTGAGACTCAAACGTCGCACCTGCTGGCTTTGACACGCCACCTCGAAGACACGAGTGTAACCATCAACCACATCAGAACATCGAACAGGCCGGTGCGCACATTTCCCCCATGAATGATAAATTAAAGACACACTAGCGCATGATTGCGACTGTGGCCATGCATTCCAAACTATGGGCCACAGTAAACCATCGTAGTCTGCGCTAATTCCACGGCGGAGGAACAGCAAAACGACACGAACGCTCTTCGCTGATGCCCTTCGTGAAGAGCAGGCCGCGACATTGGCATTTAGCTCCTGAACATAATCGCCATCACACGCAAGTTCTACAGGGTAGTCCAGATTGCCTTGTGGCCCCCAATTGACCCCGAATATTTGTTTCACTTGTACATCCATCTGTTAATGAAATAAACCTTACTTTAAAAATTGTGAAGTGGTCGATAATTACATGGGGGGGGGGAGGGTGGGGAAAATCACAGGACATCGGAATAGACAACCAAAGAGGCCGTCATTTGAGTCCACGAGCAACCCCATTCAAATTCTTCACGCAAAAAAACCTCCCCGACCTCCACACAAAACACAACGCTATCCCCTGTACGTATGTTGAACATCTTTTGCACCGTACGTAGCCAACCCCTTGTTAACATGGAAATCACTCACCTTTGTAACGTTCCCCTTTCGTTAACTGCAACTTTATTACCAAAGAGCGTAACGAGCAACAAATTAGCAGCATCTTCTCGCTGATGACCGGTTTACACGGGCAAAGGTTTCCCAAACCTCAGTGATCGCGAACCCCACCGACGCTCCAACGTCTTTCCACGTTTTACCAACGTACTCCTCCCCATTCAATTACCGAATTAACGCGTTCCACGCTGCACGCGCCCGATGATTGTTAAACACGTCCCACGTGATGCGCTAAGCAATCGGCGCCGTTTGCAACACCGTGTACACGCGGAACACGTGTAACACCTGCCGTGTACACGCGGACTGAGATCGCTATCTTAATTTTAATCGACTCTATCAACGCAGACAGCGTTAGCTGCTTAGCGCGTCACGTGGGACGTGTTTAACAATCATCGGGCGCGTGCAGCGTGGAACGAATGAATTTGCATCGGAATGGGAATGATTAAATTGATCAACGCGGAACCACGCAGTGGCGTGGTGGTGGTGGTGGGGGGGGGGTCCCGCGAGGAATGTAGTTTGGGAAACGGGGAGTCGACAGAGCTCCCACCGATGGCACGGCTCAGGCAATCAACAGCAGCGGGCGGCGTGTAGCGAGCGCTGTCACGCAAGGCGGAGGAGGAATGGAGCGGTGGGGCTGCGATCCCCGTGGCACACGCCACGGGGATCGCAGCCCCACTGTTGGTGCAAGGGCACCGAACGCCACACTTTTTTTTACCAAGATCCTAAAATGTTATACTGCTAGCATTGTATCTATTTCATGGTGAATGTATGTACGCAGCATAGGATTTATATTTTAAAATATGTGTAGAGATTAAGTGGGCCCTCATATTTGCGCCAAAACACAAATGTATCTATGAAAATGTATATGATAGGTGACGTTTCGGGCAATGGCCCTTCTTTATAGCACACGACATCGAATGAAAATGTCTTCACTCATCTTAAAATGAACGATCATCATGAATTGACTGAAAGCATCTTAAAAAAAAAAACAATACCGTAGCCTCCTGAAAAAGTCCGATAACTCAGTTTGACTCTCCCAGATAGACGGATACACAAGTAAATTCATTTTAAAAAAAAACAAGACCGAATTCTTGACGAATGCCTGGAGTCATTTTGTTGTTGTTTGTGCACCACTGGCAAAGCAACATCATCGCCAACTAATTGGTCAACTTTTACATCATGGGACCTCCTTTGCCAATACCAAAAAATGAGAAGGGGTTTTCCTCTTTTTTCTGGCAACATAACAGGTGTTTGTTGAGACGTTAAAGCACCAAAATGAAACCTTTTGCAAGGAATAATATCTGCATTAACCACAATACTTGTGGTCAGAATGTAAAACAAAAAAAAACACTGATAATATATGTGGCGTTGTCTTTGAACCGATTGGTCCACACCAGAGACAGCCGCTATCGGGAAGCGTCTCGGACGATGCCCGTCACGTATCACACAGCCTGCTGCTTTCACCACGCGCCAATTAACCGTCGCAATCACGAGCCAGACGAAGGCCATCGCCATCGTAGCGCGGCGAGAGCGTCAAGTGCACTCCAGTGAGACTATACCGCTTTCGAATTTTTAAATGGCATTAAAGATTCCAAAATAAATTGTATGACCGCACGTGCACAAAAAAATGGAATCAAATGTCAGCTAATTACCGCGCAAGAGAGCGCTGCATTGTATATACAATATTTAATACCCAGGGGGACAAGTGTCATTTGTCTGGATTAACAAAAAATACTTTATTACCGCTGCATGCTTAACGTTTTCACAAAATCAAACGATTCGGAGCAAGGCAGCCCGTGGCTACGTAAGTGCAATTAAAATACCGCTTCGACGCTTTGAGAAATCTGATCTTTAAATTAATGCCAAACGCATTACTAACGATTCTCTCTCATTGTTCGCTCTTTTAAAGAAACTGCCTCCCCCCCCCATCCACCACCGCCACCACCACCACCGTCCCTCCCCTGCACGACGGTTTTCAGTCGATAGAACATTTAAGCAGCTTTCCGTGGTTTGACGTCAGCACTAATCACGCCCGCGGACCACGAGGGCCCAGCGAGAGAGGTTTTATTCGCGGGGTTCAAATTGTGAGCGGGCACCGTGATGTTTGACCCCCCCCTCCCTCTCCGCTTCTCATTAAAGTCGTACGCACGCATTTCGCCACGGTGGCGCGCTACACAAACATCGCGCACCTCTCGAAGACGGACGACATGAAATCTGGCTACTGCCGCGCTTATTATTATTAGGTATTTTTTTTACCACTTCGAACAGTAATCGGATTCCAATTGTGAAAAAAAATATAAACTTTGCACACATCAGTGGGCGTTGCGATAAGGCTCCCGTTAGCTGGGAGTACAGAAGCGACCGTAACAAGATGTGCCTGGGCTCACAATGAACTCAACGTTTCTCCCAACTCAAATGATTATTGGGTGTCGCTGCTCGCGTCCATTACTTGCTATGCGCCTGCGTTGGAAACTCCATGTTCCCATGGCGGGTGCCAATTACTTCACAGGCTGGCCACTTGTGGACTTCCAGCGCAACGTGACGCTCAAAATTATTTCATCCAGTTGGGCTGCGTCTATCCCCAACCAGGATTCTGAACTCGTGGATGCCCCCCGTCTAGTCCGCGAGTGCGGGAGTTCCATCCACAGCTCCGGCCAAGCCTCGTGGTGACGAGGCGACGTTCTCCGCTACATTTAATTATGATATTTTCTTGTCTGTCGAGTTGCGTTCGTCTATTTTTAATGTCGCCTGGTGGCAGCGTAAACGAGTGAGCTGGTTGGGGTTGCGTTGTTACCCGTGATGGTCGTGTACTGTAATTGTGAATAGCAGCGGCTTCTCCCGCTATCTCCAAGCCCGTGTCTGTATTCAATGATTTGCAAATGTTATGATTTATGACACACCCCCCCCACACACACACAAATTCCCCCCACCCCCACCGCCCCCCATCGTTGTATTTGTATAGTTGTGGCAAGAGAAAAGTTTGCAGCTCTGATGAGAGTGTCATTTGGAAGATTGATTTAGAAAAACACATACAAATTAAATATAGATCGTCGCGCCACAATGTTTTCATTAAATGAGAATATCAGCCCCCTAATCCACGCTCGAACCGCACCTCGAAGAAGCACGGCATATAAATGTGGCTTAAAGGAGATCGACAAGAATTCTAAGGACCACAGACAATCACGAATCGCTAAGTCCCAGCTGTGGGTTGTATTTTGTGCCGACAATTTCAATGGGTTAGCAGTAACGACGCACAGATCAGCGGCAAAGTCCGGTCTCATCCCCTGCTAGGTGATTTTCATTAAAAGACAAAGTACAGCCCCCGATATTCCACGTCTTTAATGCATCACAACATAAAGACCCTGGGTTCGATTTCCGACTCGGGTGACTCTCGGTGTGTCGAGTTTGTATGTTCACCCCCCTGCTACTGCATTGGTTTTCTCCAGGTTCCCTAGTCGGGTGGTGTCCAAACATCCCAATTTAGCAAGACCCGATTGGCACGGTTGGCTACGTACGGTGCAAAAGAAGTTCAACATGTACGCATACATATGACCCTCCTGAAAAATAGTGTTTGGCCTCAGTGTGCCTTCCCCGGGTATATACATAATGTAATCATGATTATAAGCCGCTGCCATGCAGTATTGCCAAATTATTACCCATCAGCCTTTGTTGTAGCACCACTCACCACAAACCTTCTCCGCCTGATCGCACCACTCCAATGGAGCGCCATGAAAAATGTACATCAGCAGCTTTTCCTGGGGGGCTATGTCTCGAAAATCAAAAGATAGCTGACAATTCAATGTTTTTTTTTGTTCTCTCTCTCTCTCTCTCTTTTTTCAAGACAAGGTGAAACGGAAGCAGCACTATTAAGAATTTAACACGACGCCCGTGGGTGAAGTTTTCCGACCGTCAGAAACATCCCCGCTCGCCGCGGTGACGAGCTCCCCGGTGCGGTGCACGGCCGTTACCGGCCCTCCCTCGATGCAAGTTGCCTCTTGCAGGCAGAGGCTTCGAGTGGCGGGGTGTTGACTACCTCGCCTGGTACACAGGAGGTTCGTGGGTTCGCGACCCCGACCCTGACGCCTGCTGTGTATTTGGAGTCGGCGTTCCTCTATCTCTGCCCGTCGTTGCGTGGATTGTCCTCGGGTGTTTTCCCTCCGCATGTAAAAAAAAAACCCCACGTGTATTCAGTGGACATTGCCACGTGAAAAGCCACTTCCTCGGGCTATTATTTGTGGCCGGTTCGCCTCTGAAAAAGCGCTACATAGCTCAGTGGGGCTTAACCTGGTAAAATAGAGAGTTTAAATGGTAACATTCACGATGTCCTCTCTGTTAAGTGCTCAGCACAACCGATACCGTCACCATCAGCCTCCCGGTCAGCGCAGCACGCCATTAAAGACACGGCCGATATACGCACCAACTAAAATCGACGTCAACTTTTTGATGACTTGCTGCTCCCCTACAACACGTCTGCTATTCTGCAGCAAACCATGCGCCATAAGAATAAGAAGACCAAGTCAAGCTCACCGAGCTACAAGCTGTTTTTCAGAGGCGACCTGGCCACACGTGAAAGCTCATCGAAGTGGCTGCTAGCATCACACGTGGGAATGTTCTAGCAGCAGCCAAATTATCTCACCGCGTGTTTCTGGAGGAGAATATTCAGCGCTACCACCACCATGAGAGAGAGAACATGCAAACTGCAGATGTATACAGGCATCGTCAGGGGTCCGGGATGAACCCCTGCGGGTTCTTGCTGACCAGGCGAGGGAGGTAACATCTCGGTGGCGAGATTGTATCTCCGTCTTACATTAAAACAAATGTAGTCGGTCCCTAACTCTGAAGCAAATGGGCAGAAAAAAAATTAGCTTGGCAAATATTTCCGATGGTACCTTGGGAATCGTGTCGCAGTGATTTGCTCTGTGTGAACCTAGCCATCTAAGTTCAATTCCCGGCACACGGCTAACGTTAGTGGCGAGTAACATCTGAACCGTTCCTCGGCGTTCGCTCACCCTTCTTCCTCCCACTTACTAGCGTGGTGAGGCATGGCCAAGCAACGCCTTTCACCCGAGCAGTAGATTTGTCAATGGGCTATGCAGTTGTTTCCATCCATTAAACTGTATTTGATTCTATAAACATTCACATAACATAACGAGTGATGGTGAAGTCACATGCCTGCAGTTGCCCATTGTAAAGCTTTGTTT